GGCCGCTCCCCTGCCTCCTCTCGGTTGGCAGCCCCAAAAGTCCGCGCGGACCTTTTAATCCGGCCCGCGGATGTGGCTGTCAGGATGTGTGTAGGCGGGGCAGCGTGCCGAACGTGAGGGGAGGGGAGCTAGGCTCCTCTCACAGTCCGCCCTGAAGACCCGAACGGCGCGGGAAGACAGCGAGAGGAACGCAAAAGGTAAGTGAATTGACACGGGGGACTTGGCTTACTAGAAGGGGGGGGGGGATAGTACTGTGGGGGATGAAATACTATATGAGGGATGAATTACTTTATGAGGGATGAATTACTTTATGAGGGATGAATTACTATATGGGGGGATGAAATACTATATGAGGGATGAAATACTATATGAGGGATGAATTACTATATGAGGGATGAAATACTATATGGGGGATGAAATATACTATATGAGGGATGAATTACTTTATGGGGGATGAAATTACTATATGGGGGGATGAAATACTATATGGGGGGATGAAATACTATATGGGGGGATGAAATACTATATGAGGGATGAATTACTATATGAGGGATGAATTACTATATGGGGGATGAATTACTATATGGGGGATGAATTACTATATGAGGGATGAAATACTATATGAGGGATGAATTACTATATGGGGGGATGAAATACTATATGAGGGATGAAATACTATATGAGGGATGAATTACTATATGAGGGATGAAATACTATATGGGGGGATGAAATACTATATGAGGGATGAAATACTATATGAGGGATGAATTACTATATGAGGGATGAAATACTATATGGGGGGATGAAATACTATATGAGGGATGAATTACTTTATGAGGGATGAATTACTATATGGGGGATGAAATACTATATGGGGGGATGAAATACTATATGGGGGGATGAAATACTATATGAGGGATGAAATACTATATGAGGGATGAAATACTATATGAGGGATGAATTACTATATGGGGGATGAAATACTATATGAGGGATGAAATACTATACGAGGGATGAATTACTATATGAGGGATGAATTACTATATGGGGGGATGAAATACTATATGAGGGATGAATTACTTTATGATGAATTACTATATGGGGGATGAATTACTATATGGGGGATGAAATACTATATGGGGGGATGAAATACTATATGGGGGGATGAAATACTATATGAGGGATGAATTACTATATGGGGGATGAATTACTATATGGGGGATGAATTACTATATGAGGGATGAATTACTATATGAGGGATGAAATTACTATATGAGGGATGAATTACTATATGGGGGGATGAAATACTATATGAGGGATGAAATACTATATGAGGGATGAATTACTATATGAGGGATGAATTACTATATGAGGGATGAAATACTATATGGGATGAAATACTATATGAGGGTGATGAAATACTATATGAGGGATGAATTACTATATGAGGGATGAAATACTATATGAGGGATGAAATACTATATGAGGGATGAAATACTATATGGGGGGATGAAATACTATATGAGGGATGAAATACTATATGAGGGATGAATTACTATATGAGGGATGAAATACTATATGGGGGGGGGATGAAATACTATATGGGGGGATGAAATACTATATGAGGGATGAAATACTATATGAGGGATGAAATACTATATGAGGGATGAATTACTATATGGGGGATGAAATACTATATGAGGGATGAAATACTATACGGGGGATGAAATACTATACGGGGGATGAAATACTATACGGGGGATGAAATACTATACGGGGGATGAATTGCTATGGGGGATGAATTACTATATGGGGGATGAATTACTATGGGGGATGAATTACTATATGGGGGATGAATTACTATGGGGGATGAATTACTATATGGGGGATGAATTACTATATGGAGGATGAATTACTATATGGGGGATGAATTACTATGGGGGATGAATTACTATGGGGGATGAATTACGATGGGGGATGAATTACTATATATGGGGGATGAATTACTATGGGGGATGAATTACACTATGGGGGATGAATTACTATATGGGGGATGAATTACTATGGGGGATGAATTACTATATGGGAGATGTATTTTCAGTTTTAAAAATGTGGCTCTCAAAATAAATTTCAATCATGGTTTTGGCGAGATTTGGCTCAGTTGAAAAAAAAGGTTGCCCACCACTGAGCTAGAGCATGGGCAGCAAGTGGTTAAAGTAACCCTGTTAAGCTGGCAGTACACTAGTAGATTTTTGAACAAAAATTCTCATCAATATGTTCAACAACTTGACAAATATCAAAAAAATTTGGTTTTTAACATTTGATGTCATAGTGCATGGACTTTCCCAAATGAAAACAATATTTACTGTCAGGCCTTGTTTACATGGGTGTACTTCAGGGGCGGACTAACAACTCATTGGGCCCCCGGGCAATAGGAGATCATGGGGCCCCTGTGTCCTTGCCCAAACTCAAAAAAGCCAATGAAAAAGGTACCAGGGGCATCTCATGGGGCCCCCTACTGACCCCGGGCCCTCGGGCAGTGCCCGACTTTCCAAATGGTCAGTCCGCCCCTGGAGTACTTAAACATACACCTGTGTGAGGGCCATGATTTGCCTGCAAAGGATGCACAGGTATTCCGGTCCATCCGCACGCAGGCAGCCCAATTCCTATCAAATCATTCAAACACAGCTGCTGCTCTCAATGTGACGTCCACATGGTTGTGGGTTCAGGTCCTCGAACACAGACAATGTAGGTTCAGGGACATGCCCTCGCATTCATATGTGCAAATGAGGCCTTAGACGTTTTAAAGCAAAAAATTCCATCCTGCATCTTTGAATCTTCTCATAACGTCACAGTCAAAAACACATTTGACTCCACTAATGATTAGAAAATCAAATGATCATTCTTAAAAGGATTTTTTTCTCAACAAAATTCCACAAGTGTATGGCCAGCTTTAGGACAAAAAGAGAAAATGTATTTTTTCTTCTCTGCCAGGCAGTGAATAAAATGCTCTCGTTGTGCAGAGCCACCAACACCTATGAGTGATTCAGATCTGGGTGGGTGGATGTGGTTTCCTCCGCCGGATGCTACATCATTACAGGACACACTAGTGAAGTAGCAACCCGAAGGAGGAACCACTCTGGGTACCAGGTATCCAACATAACCAAAAGTGACAGCAGCAATAGCTAATGTATATATAATATCAAATATATACGTATATATAATATATATGTGTAGGTATACTCTATGTGAAATTATATATATGCAGTAAGGGCGCAGTACTCGTATTGATTGCCTTCAAAAATCCACTATTTCCATAGATCACACATCATGTAACCCTTTTGCTTGTGAACTCCAAAAAAGTACTGCTTGGACCGTAAAGAAGGGGACATACCCGAAAGCTTGTCCTGAAAATTGTATGTTAGTGCAAATAAAAAAAAAGTATCACGAACAATACTCAATTGTTTCCGAACTCCAAAAAAGAAACTTAGGCTGGTCATACATTATACAATTTTCTTGAGAATTTTGCTTTAGATTTACCAAAATTATGAGGTCAAACCTAAACAACACTTTCAATTGTATCCAATTAGGCAGGCCCTTGCACTACATAGTTGAAGGTAAATCTAAAGGAAATTGAACAGAAATTTGTAAGAAAATTGTAAAGTGTATGGCCAGCCTTAGTAAACAACATTTGCAAATCTACACATAATATCAATAAGACTCTAGAAACAAATATATCAATGCGCTTGTGAACTGCCCTTTTTTCACTACCTCTGTGTAGAAACATTCCCCAGAGTTGTATGTTTGTACTATCGCTTCGGGTCAAACATGCTTTTCGGGAACATTCTTCCCTATATCAGTTTATCTTCACTTCCAGACTGTTTTATAACCTCAGATTCTCTTGAGTAATGCAGAAAATATAATGCTCCACATAGTGTTATACCATTAAAAACATGATTAAAACGAGTAATTAGATCCACTAGGTTAATAAAAGAGCCACTAACAAATGCACTCACAACCTGCACCAATATATACAGCATACATGTCTAGGGATTCTAAGCTGTTGGGTGCTGTTGGACTGTGCCACCACTGGCATCTCTTACCTGTCTGGTGTTGAGTCCCCATAGTCTCCAACACCCTCAAGCAGTTGGCAAAGAATGTCACCAATGCAAACCTTGGCCAACTAACGCGTTTTGTCACATAGAACTTCACCCCCAGAAAATTGCTTCACAGTAGTATCACTTTAGCTCAATCAGGGTTATGGGGCTGCATATCATAATAAACCACCTCTACAGAGCTTCAAAAAAATAGTCACTAGTAAAAAGTGTGTCAGTTTTCCTTGGGAAACGGTCTTGGCGTGGCAGCGCTCCTCAGACAGGGAATTCCAACCATGAACTGAAAAAGAACACGCAGGGATGCAAACGCCTAGCGCATTACCCAAGATTTCTTCAGAGAAAATCTAAAAAGCCAATAGCATACTCACAAATGACAAAAGAATTAGTGCATGTAAAAACCACTGATGGTCTACCATGTGGTAGCAGAAATCCAGACTGTTGGTGATGTCGGTATGCTGACGCTTTTCAGGGATGGGTCCCGTTCCTCAGAAGCTCCACATGCACTAATTCTTTTGTCGTTTGTGAGTATGCTATTGCAGGGCTTGAAATTTCAACTCGCCTGCTCGCCAATGGCGAGTGGAAATTATGGTGGGGGCGAATGTGTCCCCCAGGGCCGTCTTGCTGAGCAGGCTCGGAGCTCAGGCCGGATCTGTCATTGGCACTGGGAGCCGTTGGACTGCTCAATAGCTGAGCGCAGTGAAAGCAAAGGAAGCATTGTGTGCTGTGCTCTCTGCCTCCTCCTAGAGTGCAATACCCGGCTCTGTGAGTGAACAACGAAGTACTGCAACTTTTTATGGGGGGGGGTGTATGTTTGTGTGTGTCTGCATGTACAATTGTACATGTGTCTGCGTGTATGTACATGTGTGTATCTGTACATGTGTCTGCGTGTATGTACATGTCTGTGTGTGTACATGTGTGTGTGTACATGTGTCTGTGTGTGTGTACATGTGTCTGTGTGTATGTACGTATATGCGTCTGTGTGTGCTTGTGTGTATGTATGTACATGTGTCTGTGTGTACATGTATCTGTATGTACGTACATGTGTCTGTGTATCTGTATGTACGTACATGTGTCTGTGTATGTATGTACGTACATGTGTGTGCATGTGTATTTCTGTGTATGCACATTTATCTGTGTGTATGCGTGTCTGTACGTGCCTGTGTGTGTATACATGTGTCTGTATGTGTGTTTGTGTACATGTGTCTCTGTGCGTGCGTGCAGGTTCTGTGTGTGTATGTGTGTGTGTGTATGTGTACATGTTTCTGTGTGTGTGTATGTACATGTCTGTGTGTGTACAGGTGTCTCTGTTTGTGTGTGTTTGTTGGTGGCGAGTAACTCTAAGGCCTGGCTAGTAGTTCAGGACTTGAAATTTTAAGCTCTGTGCTATTGGCTTTTTAGAGTTCTCTGAATAAATCTTGGGTAATGCACTAGGCATTTGTACCCACTGTGTGTTCTTTTTCACTGCATACCATAATCTCTATAGACACTATAAACAAAAGGAAGTCAAACTGAGAATCAGTACTTCAGGAAAACGGAACAGAATACCATTACTTGCAAATATCATCATAGACAGTGTCCCTCAGTGATGTCCAGAGTAGCTCTGGAAACACTGAAGAGGCCCAAGGAGGAAGTTCCATTGGAAGTGAAGGACTCTGGTAAGAATTGAGGAAGGGTTCCCCACAGTAGCTAGGGCTTCCAGAGAAGCTGCCTGCTTTTAGGCTGTGAAAAGGCTTCCCTTACTTTTGCAGATCAATTGCCCAGCTACTTCTGCATTATTGAGTGTAGATTTTCTGAGCTTTGTTAGGGAGGGAAGCTGAGGGACTTATCTTCCCTGAGCATGTCTATGAACCCAGGGAGTTGAGTGAAAAGCGAAGGGGTCTGCTCCTGCATCTGAGCATGGAGAGTAATTGGAAAAAGGGATAAGTGAGGAGAAATGAAGGATAGAGGGATTTGGTTCCAAAAAAGGACAGTTACTACAAATAAGGGACAGTTAGAAGCTACTGTATGTATTTCTAAATAGCTAAGCTGGGTTGTATAGGAGACATTGGGCATAGACAAGCATTTTTAAGAATATCAGGTAGCTGAACGACATAACAGCTGCCCTGCCATTGTTAATACAAAAGGAAAATTCCAAGAAAAATACACATTTCAGTAATAAATGTGTAAAATGATAAGCTTTTCATGTGTTTCCTTGTTGTAATTGGATGCACTACTTGAGGTGAAACATAATGAATAATTAAGCTTTGGCCTCCAGGAAATAAAAACCTAACATAGCTTCTGTGAGTTCTGGACAATATAACAGGCAATAAACTGCATCTGTGTGCACATCTAACTGATCCTCAGCAGTATAAAATGGTCAGTTAGTAGAGGGAACCTTCTGCAAACATTAAATTATATGTAAACCCAACATTTCATATTCCTGATATATGTCTGATGTAAATGTATGTATGAAAAAATATCCTGTTGTCTCTGTATTGCTTCCTTTGTGTAAAATCCCCGGTGTTGCTGCCAGTCCCCCTGCTTTCCTATTAAAAACTGACCATACTAGGCATGAGAGCATAGCGAGGTCAGCTCTCTAGCTGTGCTGGGAACTCAGCCTGCTCTCTTCCAATGATCATAATTTGTCTTGACACCCCCCCTACCCACCGCACAGTCTTTAATTGGCAAAATCAGTGTGCTGCTGTTTCTCCTCCCCCAGCTCTTATGCAGATGAGAACAGAGGTAATGTGATCAGCTCTAAATAAAGTGGAAAAAGTGTTTATGTTTTTTTTTTTTCTTCTTTCTATACACAAAGGGTTTGATTTTCATTTCTATTATAAACTGAGTGCAATGTTTTACAAGGTGAGGGTTTACATACACTATTTGTTATTTATTTCAGGTACTTATATAGCGCCAGCAATTTACACAGCGCTTTACATATATATTGTACATTCACATCAGTCCCTAACCCTCAAGGGGTGTACAATCTAAGGTCCCTAACTCACATTCATACATACACATACTAGGGCCAATTTAGACAGGAGCCAATGAACCTACCAGCATGTCTTTGGAGTGTGGGAGGAAACCCACGCAGGCACAGGAGAACATGTAAACTCCAGGCAGGTGGTGCCGTGGCTGGGATTTGAATCAACGACCCCAGCACTGCCAGGTGGAAACGCTAACCATTTATCCCGTGCTTAAATTTTGAAACAAACCAATCAGGACCCTATAGCTCAGCAGTGCAATGCACCCTGCATGAAGTTCATTGTGTCACTGCGAGTTCCAGGGCACATAGAAATTAACAACATTTTTCCCTTTCAATACATTTTTATTGAAAAATGTTTGATTTTAGAAAATACAAATGGGACCGCTATCATGTGTACAAGCAAAGATATACAGTAACAGCAGGAGCTTACAGATCAGCGGTCATGCACAGAAATACATACCTGTAACTTGTGACAAAGTAAATGATATGTCAAGTAAATGGGGTCAATTTACCAAGAGTTAAATAACGACTGAAAAAATGCAGTAAAATAACGCTTGTGGTAAATGTTTTGCAAATGTGCAATTCAAGAATTTGGCGGTAAATATCTCATGCGGTAAATATTGTGGTAATTACCACATATTGCACACCATTTAAAGACGTACAGCACTGGGATTGTGGTTTCACTCTCCAGTAGAAATATGGCTCTTTCCATCCAGATTTGCTGAAGAGTCTTTTCCTACGTTTTCTTTTTGGACTTTCATGTTGTAGCTTCACATATGTGTTTTTGGACTTCATGTTATGTCTAATGTTTTTGCAACAGCGCAACACTACACATTAGCTTTATATTTTTCACATGTGATGAACACATTTTATGTGTTTGCAGCAGCTTGTATATCTTTATACATTTATTTTTGTGATATATTATTGATTTATTTGGCAGTGCTCAAATTTTCTCACTTTTTTATAGTTTTGGGAAAGAGTCTTGAGTGCATTCTAAGAGTGGAGCATGAGCCAAATTCAAGTAAAAGGTCTAGACATGTAAATGAATTTGGTGGATTCAGCACCACTTTTAGAACACATGAGAGACACTTTTGCAAAATCTGCTTACTTCAGTCTTTATGAATTCCAGGGATTGTATTTTCTGAAAAAATGCAGTTTAATATGTGACAAGCTGAGCTTTTTTTTCTAAAAAAAAATAGGTGCAGGAACTCCCGCCTTTTGAGTCACCCCTTGTCTCCACTCCCTACCCACCTCCAAGCACTGTCTCTTGGTTCCACCCCCCTACCCACCTCCCAGTACTGCCCCTTTTAGAGAATACTGAACCAAGCATCATTTTGTGATGCTAATTAATTTGTATGTAATGTGTTAATAACAAGGAAGGAAAGCAGCAAAATAGGGTAGATCCCCTGCAGCCAGGAACAATTGAGCCCCCGCACAACAATAGAACCCCCAGCAACAATGGACCCCACACAACAAAATACCACCCCGGTAACCATAGACCCCAGCAGCAACAACAGACCTCCCAGCAGCCAGCATCAATAGACCCTCCAGCAGCACGCAATAATAGACTCCTCCCTCAACAAGAGATCCCTCCCAGCCAGAACTGGCTCCCCAGCAACACAAGACCCCCCCAGCAACAATAGGCCCCCATGCAAAAATAGCTTCCCACCAGTAATAGCTCCCCCAGCAGCCAGCCTCCAGCACACCTTGCCATTTCACACATTCAGTGCTGGAACTGCATTCCCCTGCATTTCCACTGAAAAAAAAAACCTGGTGACAAGCATATAGAGATTTTTTTTATTATCTGCAGCCACAATCCATGCACTAAAATGTACCTAGACATTAAACATGCATTAACTGTATTAACACTTAAAAGGTAAGAGTGGTATAGTAATGGGGGGGTAATGATGGTAAACCTATGTACAGTACATCCTGATCTGACAGTTCCTGGCCACCTTTCCAAGCTTCCTGCTATGAAATTAGATATTTCAACAGGCACCAAGCAGGCCTCACAGTGAAGATCTTAGTACAGGTTAACATTTGATTTGAAGGTGGGCAGGTGACGGGAATTGCACCCCACATTTCTTGCAGTTAGCATCTACAGTCAAAACTTTTGCCGTTTTGGATACAGTGGTGAGGAGTTAGAAACTCTGCCAGGTTCTGCTTATAGGGGAGAAAGAAGTAAACGATGTCAATGGTTGGGGTCAAAGGTTAAGGTCAGTATATTTTAGGCCAGGTTCACATATGTGGAGCCGTGTGGGCCATGATTTGCGCAGGCACAAGAACCCAATCATTTGAATGGACTCCCGTGCCCCGGGACACACATGGAAGAAGTCCCTGCACAACTTGGGAAATCGGAGCCTGCATGGGAACCAAGGTTTCCAGTAAGGTTGCAAGTTACAGTGCGGGTGGTGTGCCATTAGAAATAATGGCACCCGCCCGCGGGTCCCACATTCCTCTGTGTGGGTGGTGCAGCTGCAGGTATTTGTGAGGGTGCCGCATTCCTCTGTGTGGGTGGTGCAGCTGCAGGTATTTGTACGGGTCCCGCGTTCCTCTGTGTGGGTGGTGCGGCTGCAGGTATTTGTGAGGGTCCCGCATTCATCTGTGTGGGTGTTGCGGCTGCAGGTATTTGTGAGGGCCCGCGTTCCTCTGTGTGGGTGGTGTGGCTGCAGGTATTTGTGCGGGTCCCGCGTTCCTCTGTGTGGGTGGTGCGGCTGCAGGTATTTGTGCGGGTCCCGCGTTCCTCTGTGTCTCTGTGTGGGTGGTGCGGCTGCAGGTATTTGTGAGGGTCCCGCGTTCCTCTGTGTGGGTGGTGCGGCGGCTGCAGATATTTTTGTGCGGGTCCCGTGTTCCTCTGTGTGGGTGGTGCGGCGGCAGGTATTTGTGCGGGTCCCGCATTCCTCTGTGTGGGTGGTGCGGCTGTAGGTATTTGTGAGGGTCCTGCATTCCTCTGTGTGGGCAGTGCCCGAGTGCTCAATTGGTCAGTCCGCCCCTGGTCATATGACATCCCAGAACGCTCCCCCAGCGGTGCCATCAGTGATCGGACTAGGTAAAAGGCCAATCACAGCAGCCTTTTACCACGTGATCAGCTGTGTCCAATGACACAGCAGATCACAAAGTAAATATAGTTGCTGGTTATCAGCAGCACTTTCATCATGCTGTCACAGCGTGACGAAAGTACTTCCGATAACCGGCAAATGTCACAGAGCAGATCTGCACTGATCAGGGCACTGATTATCAGTGCCCAGCAGTGCCACCCACCAGTGTTGTCAGTCAGTGCCACCCATCAGTTCTGCCTGTGCAGCCTCATAAACACACATCAGCGAAGGAGAAAAATTACCTGTTTGCAAGTTTATAATAGAAACAAAGAGAAAGTTTTTTTTGTCAATGTTTTTGCTCTTTTTTGTTTATAGTGGAAAAATAAAAACATAAAAACTAAAAAAATATGGTTGCATAAGTGTGCACACCCTCTTATAAGTGGGGATGTAGCTGTATTCAGAATTAAGCAATCACATTCAAAATCATGTTAAATAGGAGTCAGTACACACCTGACATCATTTAAAGTGCCTCTGATTAACCCCAAATAAAGTTCAGCTGTTCTAATAGGTCTTTCCTGACATTTTCTTAGTTGCATCCTACAGCAAAAGCCATGGCCCGCAGACAGCTTCCAAATTCATTGTTAAAAGGTATCAGTCAGGAGAAGGGTACAAAAGAATTTCCAAGGCATTAGATATACCATGGAACACAGTGAAGACAGTCATCACCAAGTGGAGAAAATATGGCGCAACAGTGACATTACCAAGAATTGGACGTCCCTCCAAATTTGATGAAAAGGTGAGAAGAAAACTGGTCTGGGAGGCTGCCAAGAGACCTACAGCAACATTAAAGGAGTTGCAGAAATATCTGGCAAGTACTGGCTGTGCGATACTTGTGACTACAATCTCCCGTATTCTTCATATGTCTGGGCTATGGGGTAGAGTGGCAAGACGGAAGCCTTTTCTTACTAAGAGAAACATCCAAGCCTGGCTAAATTTTACAAAAACACATCTGAAGTCTCCCAAAAGCATGTGGGAAAATGTGTCCTGGTCTGATGAAACCAAGGTTGAACTTTTTGCCCATAATTCCAAAAGATATGTTTGGCGCAAAAACACTCCACATCACCAAAGGAACACCATACCCACAGTGAAGCATGGTGGTGGCGGCAGCATCATGCTTTGGGGCTGTTTTTCTTCTGCTGGAACTGGGGCCTTAGTCAAGGTAGAGGGAATTATGAACAGTTCCAAATACCAGTCAATATTGGCACAAAACCTTCAGGCTTCTGCTAGAAACCTGAACATGAAGAGGAACTTCATCTTTCAGCATGACAACGACCCAAAGCATACATCCAAATCAACAAAGGAATGGATTCACTGGAAGATTAAAAAAAAATAAAAAGTTTTGGAATGGCCCAGCCAGAGCCCAGACCTAGATTTGGAGTGTTTTTGCAAGGAAGAGTAGGTAAATATTGCCAAGTATAAGTCAAGATGTGCCATGCTGATAGACTCATAGCCAAAAAGACTGAGTGCTGGAATCACATCAAAAGGTGCTGCAACAAAGTATTAGTTTAAAAAGGAGCTCCACCCAAAAGGGGAAGTTCTGCTTTAATCGTTTGTCCCCCACTCCCCATTAAGGATTGGCACCTTTGGGGAGTGGGTGCCCGAATTTGACAGGTACCCGCTCCCACTTCCGCTGCGATTGCCTAGGCCAGTGGTGGGCAACCTTTTTTTTCAACTGAGCCAAATCTCGCCAAAACCATGATTGAAATTTATTTTGAGAGCCACATTTTTAAAACTGAAAATACATCTCCCATATAGTAATTCATCCCCCATAGTAATTCATCCCCCATATAGTAATTCATCCCCCATAGTGTAATTCATCCCCCATAGTGTAATTCATCCCCCATAGTGTAATTCATCCCCCATAGTAATTCATCCCCCATATAGTAATTCATCCCCCATATAGTAATTCATCCTCCATATAGTAATTCATCCCCCATAGTAATTCATCCCCCATATAGTAATTCATCCCCCATAGCAATTCATCCCCCGTATAGTATTTCATCCCTCGTATAGTATTTCATCCCCCGTATAGTATTTCATCCCCCGTATAGTATTTCATCCCCCATATAGTATTTCATCCCCCATATAGTATTTCATCCCTCATATAGTATTTCATCCCCCATATAGTAATTCATCCCTCATATAGTATTTCATCCCTCATATAGTATTTCATCCCCCCATATAGTATTTCATCCCTCATATAGTATTTCATCCCCCCATATAGTATTTCATCCCTCATATAGTATTTCATCCCTCATATAGTAATTCATCCCTCATATAGTATTTCATGGGCCCCCATATAGTAATTCATCCCTCATATAGTATTTCATCCCCCCATATAGTATTTCATCCCCCCATATAGTATTTCATCCCTCATATAGTAATTCATCCCTCATATAGTATTTCATCCCCCCATATAGTATTTCATCCCCCCATATAGTATTTCATCCCCCATATAGTAATTCATCCCTCATATAGTATTTCATCCCTCATATAGTATTTCATCCCTCATATAGTATTTCATCCCCCATATAGTATTTCATCCCCCCATATAGTATTTCATCCCCTCATATAGTATTTCATCCCCCCATATAGTATTTCATCCCTCATACAGTAATTCATCCCTCATATAGTAATTCATCCCCCATATAGTATTTCATCCCTCATATAGTAATTCATCCCCCCATATAGTATTTCATCCCCCCATATAGTATTTCATCCCCCCATATAGTATTTCATCCCTCATATAGTAATTCATCCCTGATATAGTAATTCATCCCTCATATAGTATTTCATCCCCCTATATAGTATTTCATCCCCCCATATAGTATTTCATCCCTCATAAAGTAATTCATCCCTCATATAGTATTTCATCCCCCACAGTACTATTCCCCCCCCCCCCCTTCTAGTAAGCCAAGTCCCCCGTGTCAATTCACTTACCTTTTGCGTTCCTCTCGCTGTCTTCCCGCGCCGTTCGGGTCTTCAGGGCGGACTGTGAGAGGAGCCTAGCTCCCCTCCCCTCACGTTCGGCACGCTGCCCCGCCTACACACATCCTGACAGCCACATCCGCAAGCCGGATTAAAAGGTCCGCGCGGACTTTTGGGGCTGCCAACCGAGAGGAGGCAGGGGAGCGGGAAGTTTCCGACCGAGAGGAGGGAGGGGAGCAGGCGCCCGGCACACAGAAGAGCCGCATTAGACTGGGTAAAGAGCCGCATGTGGCTCGCGAGCCGCGGCTTGCCGACCACTGGCCTAGGCGATTGGAAGTGGAGGTTGTCCTCCCCCCTCCTCCCTGTAGTCTTCTGGGACACGCGACAGGTCCCAGATTCCGGGGCCATTCACAAAGTGCAGTGCTTTTCGCGCATGTGCAGTGGGCACCCGGCTGTGAAGCCGCAAGCTGTCACAGCTGGGCGCCCATACTGAAGAAGCCGGTGCAGGGGGAGCGAAGACAGCTGGTGAAACCAGCCGTGGTGAGGGCACCGCTGGACCAAGGGACAGGTAAGTGGCTGTATTTTAAAAGTCAGCAGCTACAGTTTTTGTAGTTGCTTTTATTTTTTTTATTTTTTGGAGGTGGAACTCCGCTCTAAGGGTGTGCACACTTATGCAACCATATTATTTTAGTTTTTTATTTTTACTTCCCTCCACCTAAAATATTTCAGTTTGTTGGTCAACTGAGTTGTACCGTTTGTAGGTTACATTAAATGTGAAATCATATTCATTTCTATGTGTATTTCAATTATTTCTAGTCTACTTTTTGGATCTGAACTTACTTTGTGAAGATCCTCATCCTTGAATTCTGTGACACATATTCACTATGTCCTGTGAGTAGGCACTGTTGTGTCACACATTTCACAAGTGTGAGAGGAGCTTCAGGAGGCAGAGTCAGTACAGGAATCACTGCTTGCAGGCAACAAGGTACTATGGGATATGTAGTCCTTAGGAATAGAAAAACAGCAAAGGAGATAGAAGCTGCAAAGAATGCAGGGAATCCAGGAAGTTGTGGAAAGAGATGACCAGCAGACAGTCAGAACTCAGAACAGGACAGAAGATTTTTCAAGTAGGAGTATATTGGATTGTCAAAAAATACCATTTATTTGTATTGCTATTAAATGCTGATGTTATACAATGAAAATGTATGCTGTGACCATAGAACTCATTTAAAGCTCATTGTATCAGCTATCTCCCGTAAAATACAAATCTCCCCCATGTAATGATGGTGAGAGTAAGTAAAGGTATTCTGTAATGCAAATCCAGAGGGTAGCACAGGGTGACAGCGCTGCTTCTTCATAGATACAGTGCAGTATAACGGTTGTCACCATAGGACAGGAAGTGTGTTGTTGACAGGATCAACAGGTGAAAATAATGGAAAGGCTGAATAAACAAAACAAATGCAGCCACCACATCTAAAGACTGCTAAGCCACCATGTATTAAATTTGGGGGGGGGGTTTACATAAGTTTTAAGGCCCAGCTCTGGGAAAACTGAAAATCCTCCCTTGCAGTGTGGTGGCTGCTCCAGCACAGCAAAAGTTAACTGCTCATTTGGTCCTAGGGGGAGAAAAAAAAAGCCATTTTACTTACCTAATCCTCCACTCTCTTTGAAATACGGCACTCCGCCATGCTCTGGTGGTGAACTGTCTGTCCC